AATCCCTCCTTCAGGGAATAGCCTCTTCGGTGCAAAGTACTTGAGACAAAGTCTTGTCTTGCCTCTGTGGAGCATTCTGCTGTACTTCTTCCAAGACAAAGTGTTGGTTGTTCTGACAGTCCATGATGCTTCCAAGATTCTTCATCAGCACTACAATTCAAATGCATAGACTCTCTGTAGGTCTTCCTTCTTTCTTCTATGTCCTACTTTCACTTGCAATATAAGGTCACTGAGAATACCATGGCTCGGATCAGGAGCTCCTTAGTCCTCAAAGCAACATGCTTGCTTTTCAGCACTTGAAAGAGGTCTTGTGAAGCAGATTTACGCAATGAAATGTATGGTTTGATCTCTTGTCTGCTGTTTCCATGATCATTGATCGTAGATCCATGCAAGATGAAATGGTAGACAATTTCAATATTCAGATATTTTGAAAAGTTGTTTATTTCTGTTTGTCAGAATTTGATGTTTCTTCCTTTTCTTTTATTTGCAATGTTTTTGATCAAATTTACATATCCAAAATTCCTTTCAAGGAGTATCCTAAGGGAATACATGCGTTACCTTTTGATTTTATTTACTTTGTATTCTATGTTACAAAGTTTCTTTCAAAAGGAAAATTCAAAAAATAAAAGCATATTCAGCTAGGCTCATCAATTATTACCATTTTCCAGTCCTATCACTTACTTAAATTGCTCTTTGAACTCAAAGTATAAAACCACTTTCTTCTATCTTAAAATTTTGAAAGGGATTAGAGAACTATATTGACTTTTAAGACCTGAATTCAAAACTCAGTTCTCTAATCTCTGTGAGCCACAGTTTCCTTTGTGGAAAATGGGACCATTGATACCTTCTCTGATCTACAAAGTTCTTGCAAAACAAACAAGATAAAGGAATTCTTACTGTTGACGGTTTAGATTAGACAAATGAAAGGTAATGTTTGGATTGTCCAAAAAGACAAACTTTATTGTTAGGTGCTGTGTACAACAAAATGAAACACCACCAGGCCTGTGCTCTCCTAAAAATGATGGTCAGGTGAGTCCACTGTAACAGCAACTGTGTTGGTTCATCCCACTAAGGGGTTGCCCTTGTTGTTGTTGTCTACCCTCTAATCTACCAAGTAAAATGGTCTTTTGCAGGGACTGGTCTTACCTGATAACATGCCCAAAGTACATGGGATGAAGTCTTGTCATCCTGACTTTTAAGGAGCAGCCTGGTGGATGTAGTTACACTTTACATAGTTAAAATTACTTGACATTGAATCGGCATAACTATAATTAGATTTGAAATAATTTTAAGAGTATGACTCAGATATCCTCTTCTATTCTTTAAGATCCAAGTTCATGAAACAAATCCTAACAGAATGTTTGATGGGTCAACTATTGTCTTTCTTGCAACATGGTGTATTTGAAAATAGCCTCTGTTTTGGTGAATACAGGCTGTTTTAATGGAGTGTGCTCCTCTTTGTGGCTGTCCACACAGGAGAGAGCTGACCACTGTCCTTTAACTAGATCTGCAGTCTTTTCTGTGTGGAGAACAACAAATATCAGATTCAACAGAGTCTTAGAGTGAAAGCCCCTGGTACATTAGACACTTCTCTCCAGGATGGCTTCTGCTTTTAGCCCAACAATTGGGGTTGACATTCCACCTTTCCAGGCCATTCATTTGCTGCACTTTCTTCTGGAAAGAGGTGCTTGTAAGAAGAGCACAGCCCCTGTGACTTCGGGTCACTTAGAGACGTGAGAGCTGCTAGCCTCTTCTGGTGGAAACTGGACCTGTCTTTAGAAACGCTGAGGGGGTTCAGGTCACTCCACAGCCCTAGATACCTGAGGCACATCAGCGGAGGTGTATGATTCCGAGAACTGTGTTGTCAAAATAGAAGGCAAGTAAGTGATAGCCTTTATTCTGCCTTAAAAGGTGCCCTTTCTTATCTTGTTTTGGGTAAAACTCTAGTCTTTGTCCTCACTTAGCACGAAGTGATCATTTCAGAGTATTTAGGGAGCTGACCAATCACTTGTGGTCTCCTTTGTCTAGTAAAAACATGACCATAGAATTTGAAGATGTTGGTCACTTGTGCAAAAGTCTTTAAATGTTTTAACTTTTGTTGTTAGGACCACACCTATACCAAAATCCAAATTGTTCTCACTATAAAAATATGTCATTTCTTTGTAATATGTCAAGTAATCAAACAAAAATAAATAATTCCTTCTTCCTTAACCTAAGCCCAGTAATAATTGTCTTATACTATCAAGAAAAATCTATAAGTAGATAATTCCTTATTTTTCCTATTTCAATCTTAAAAAGAAAGAAGCTTTATTCTCATTCCACCACTAAAAATGAGTTCACATTTTTAAAAATTATTTTATTCTTAAAAACTTCCAGAGCCCTAAGATATTTTTCTTTTAAAATAACTTTAAAATCAGTTAAAAGGACATATATCCTGATTTCCTTGTTCATTTATTAAGATATGTATTAGATGTCTCTTTTGAACCAGGCACTCTTTCAGATGGTGGGGATACAAGATTGAACAAACAAAACACCACCTTTGTTTTCATGACATACCCACACCTTAAACACACCGTTGGTCACAGATAAGGGGTCATCTCACCAGAAGTATTTTAGGGTGACAGCATATGAATGCAGTAAGGGGAAAATGTTTCCTTTTTCAAGCCTGTAGGTTTATGGAAGTATCGAGATGGGGGGATGAGGGAAGAAGTGAGGAAGGAAAATACATGTGTTTATATATTACTCATAAGAGAAAAAACAAAATAAACATGACCACTTTGTATGAATGTAAATGCTGATCACACAATATTTGGCTAATGAGCAATGAAGCGTCTCTTAATCCACCTTTCTACACTTTTCCTCACACCATACGCGCTTTATTGCTGTGGTTTTCTTTTGTGGCAATTGCATTGGCAAGCCAGATGTTCCACTAGCTCCTAGTGTCTCTGAACGCTTCCTGACTTGCCGTGGTAAGTGCAGAGAAGGGAATGTCAGGTCGAAGAATGACAAGGCTGGGGCTCTGGTTATGAAGGCTGGCTTCATAGCTTGCTCACGTTTGAAAGTTTTATCACTTGCAAAAGATAACAATAAGAAAATGCTACAGAATTAAAGTCTTGTCCCTATAAATTCAGACATAGGAAGTCCCTGAACTGCCCTGCGTCACCAAGACATGGGCCCAAGTAATGAATGCAATTTTGAGTGTGAGACACATTTACCTTTCTCTGAATAAAATATATTTTCTTATAGAAACGTTTATTATTATTATTACTACTACTGCTATTAAACTGGTTAGTCTGAACTCCAGGACTGCAAGAGTGAGTTCAAATACAGCTCCAGAGTGAAGATGTTGAAGGGCGGGGCCGTGTTTCCTTCTGCCGTACCTGCTGTCACATTGAGCTGGCATTTTCTTGGGTCACAAAACCTTTCCCAATACTTTCTTCCCTAGAAACAGACTCGATCTCTGTTTCTAAAGAGAAGTAAGGGATACGTGAAACAGAGTTCACGGGTATTCTGCTTGCTGTTTTCTCCCCACTCTTTTCTACGTGGGAATTTTGTGAAATCCAATGTCCAAAATTGATCGTGAGCTGTAATTATCTATCCAGCAAGTTCCTTGGGCAACTAGGTTAGGGAGTCAATCTAGTGGTATAAATGATTTCGTTACCTGCCAAAGTAACAGAAAGAGGCTAAATCAGACAGAATCAGAGGACAATGACGTGCAGAAGATGGATGCAAATGTTATATAATATCTTAAACAATTTATTTCCATATATATCAGTGTGTAGCTTTCTCTCCTTTCTCCTCATTTATTTATATAATATCTTGATTTTCTGTTTCTAACTTTATTATTTAACTTAATCATTATTTTGTTGAATTAAAACTAATTTGCTTGGCATAGAATAGATTCCAATAAATTGGTTGATATAGAATCTCATGGCAATTATGCACACATATTTATGGCAATATCATTCTAAGATCCTTTTGATCTCCTCAAATTTTGGAGCTGACATAGTAGTTAAACTATCCTATTCATTTTTGCAGATCAGAAAAAGGGTAACATAGAGTCTCTCTATGTCAGCAGAAATTAAAGAGATATATTTACCCTCACTTTTACTTTGATTAAAGGTGATATTATGTAAATTTGTACCTAGAAGTAAATTACTGTTTCCTATAATTAAGGATATCAGAGCCCTGCTAGTGTTATGGGTTGAGTATTTGGCTGCCAAGTGGAAGGTCAGCAGTTTAAACTCACCAGCCAATCAAAGAGAGAGAGAGAGAGAGAGTGTTTGTCCTTCTCAAAAGATTTGCAGTTTTAAAAACCTAAGAAGCAGTAGTTCCGCTCTGTCCCACAGTGTTGCAATAGTTAGGGATCAATTTGATGTCAGTGGCCTAGTATTTATTTACCTATTTAACATTTAAAAAGGAAGAGTAATATAATATTACTACCATTAAAAGTTCATTTGCCCCAGATATAATGTAGATGAGTTCAATGTTATTATAGCTTTGTCTGTCATTTTTCTTTTAACTTAGTCATCTTGATGCCACAAAATACAAATGTTGAAAAAAATTAATATTAATAGAATTGGAATTGGTGGGGACACTTTGTGAGGGAGAGATGGGGCAGAGGATGATAATATGACTGCCCCAGTGATATCTCCAACAAGTCATAGTGATATCTCCAACAAGTCATATAACGGGAGTATTGTTATTTTATTTTAGAGCCATTCTTCCCTGGCATATTGCTTCCTTCTTGTCCGAGGTCATTTTATGAACAACCAACATAAAAGAAACACCTTTAAGATGGGATGAACATGGCTTATCTGTGTCATTAAATTGTTAAAACAGTACAATGTGCCTAGTCTGTAGAAGAGTAACTATACTAAGAACAGGCATACATTGATAGAAGTGAGGGTGGCCATAATTCTTAATTTTTTATCTATTGAAATCAGTAATTCCACTTTTGAATCTTCTTTAATTCTCTTTTATTGTCCCATTTATTTTAGCTGAATGTGGAGCAAGTGTCAAAGGAAATGAAGGAACATTACTGTCTCCAAATTTCCCATCAAATTATGATAATGACCATGAGTGTATCTATAAAATAGAAACAGAAGCTGGCAAGGGGATCCATCTCAGAGCTCGGAACTTTCAGCTGTGTGAAGGAGATATTCTAAAGGTAAAAGAGACTGCTGTTTGATGTT